CCACCCGAGTAGCTGGGATTACAGGAGCACACCACCACACTTGGCTAGTGTGTGTGTGTGTGTGTGTGTGTGTGTGTGTGTGTGTGTGTATTTTTAGTTGAGGCAGGATTTCACTATGTTGGCCAGACTGGTCTTGAACTCCTGACTTCGTTATCTGTCCGCCTCAGCCTCCCAAAGTACTGGGAGCCACCTGGCCTCTTCTCTTTTACTTCTACGTAGTTGTTTCTTAGTTGATCAAAGGCTCAATCTTTTATGCTCTGTTAGGTTTTTTTTGGGTTAGGAATCACTAGCCTGAATGCAGAGGCTGAGAAGAAAGCACTGGCAGATGCTGGCTAGATGGCAGTGTGGGGGACTGGTGAGCTGGAGGGAGTGCTCTAGAGAGGAGGCAGCTTCTCAGCCCCAGGCATTGTTGCCCTTGTAGAATATAGACCCAGGGTTTCCATAACTACTGATTTTTCTGGAAAAACTGCATTTTTTAGGTGAAATCTCTTGATATTTAAATGTTAGCAGTTTTTTTCTTTTTTTCCTCCTTCTTTTTCATCTCTCCCATTCCATGCAGATAATGTTAGTAGCTTTAAAACACTGCTGGGCCAGGCATGGTAACTCAAGCCTGTAATCCCAGTACTTTGGGCGGCTGAAGGATCACAGCCCATGAATTCGAGACCAGGCTGGGCAACATAGACTGTCTCTCTATGAAAAAATTTAAAATTAGCCAGGTGCGGTGGTGTGTGCCTATAGTCCTAGCTGTTTGGAAGGCTTGAGCCCAGGAGATTGAGGCTGCAGTGAGCCTGTGATCACACCACTGCACTCCAGCCTGGGTGACAGGGCGAGACCCTTTCTCTAAAAATAAATAAATAGAATACAAAAATAAAACGCTGCTGACCAAACCACAGTTGCAGTTGGCAGGTGGCATCCTTCTGGCAATTAGTTTTCAACTGCAGCTTTCTCATTTATTCCTTACAGAGGCTGAGAGATTCCCGTCTCAATGATTTTACATGCATGTGGCATAAGACATACCTTTAGTCCTAACTATTCTTTCAAGCCGTAGTCTCTTTTCTCTGTTGAATATTTCTGCTTATGTCAGACAAACTGAAATTCAAAATCAAATTTATATTACATCCTGCAAACCAGCTAGCTTCTTTCCCTGTCTTTTTTATATTCTCCTAGTTGTCCTGGCTTGAAATCTTAAAGTTGTTTCTGTCATTCTTTTCCATTGAGTTTTTACTTCATAATCTTAATAATATCACTCCCCTCTGTTTCCACAGCTGCTGTTCTTCATCACCCCATGCCTAAATTATTGGCCTCCTGGACTTGATTTTCTGCTCTATTCACACCTTGCCTACTTCTGGGATAATTTCACTAAGCACTACTTTCATGATGTCTTCCTGCTTCAACAGTTTCATGTAGTTTGTTTAATTTCGTGAGGCCATGTTTGTTTTATTGGACACTTGGAAGAAGTTCCTGAGTCATAAAATTCTCATCTAAGACAGTTGTTTATTTAAACTTCATGCATCATAACCACCTGGAGGATTTGTTAAACACAGATTTCTGGGCTCCACCATTTCTTGTTCAGTAGATGTGGGGTGGGGCAGAGTTTCTAACAAGTTTTTAGGGGATGTTGATGGTCCTTGTCCAAGAACCATACTTTGAGAATGACTGTTCTAAAAAGCCAAGTTGACATCAGCTGAAGGAAATAAGCCTGATAAAAGTTAATTAAGAAATTAGAAGTAGCGGAGATGTGCATGCCCTCTTCCTTTCCACCAGATGGCAGTTTTGGAGCCAGTAGAAAGGAAAGATCATAAATTCAGAAGTACTTGGGGCGCTGAATTCTCAAATACATTTTGAGGTATAAAAGCTAATATCAAATTTTAAATGACAGATGAGTGTGAATTTGAATGAAAGCAGTATGATTATGTAGAATTTGGCAAGGAATTTGGTTGTATGTATGTACTTTTTGTAGTAATTGGTCCACAGATTTTTGTGACCTATAAATACTGTGCACGGTGGCTTTGTACTTGCGTTTGGTGGGTTTACATTAACTTTCTCTGAGTTAAATAAAATTATATTTTATGTATAAAACTGGGACTTGGAGCTAGGCCTGAGTTCTCTTTACTTGCAGTCAGTACTTAAACTGTTAGATAAGACTTGCCAGTCTGGCTACACCCTCTTTAACTTTGAAATGACATTTGGGTACTGGCCTCATCAAGGAATCCAAAGTCATTCTGGATCTAAAGAAATTAGCTCTTAAATTTTTCAATACTTAAAACTTCCAAAAAGATAAAATTGAGTCAAGTTGAAAACATTTTAGAAATGGTGTTTTAGGGTAGTGTAGTTCAGACTTTAAAAGTAATTCTGAAAACCTTGTTTAGAAAGTATTCCTAAATTAGATACAATCTGTCACTTCAGTTTCATAATTATAAAGTGTTAGTGTTGATTTTTAATGACAGCTTCCATTCTTTGAAATCATTTGGGGAGCTTCAAACAATATCTGTGCTTGTGCCCCACCTCCTCCAGAGTTTGAATTAATTGGTCTTGGTGTGACCTGGGCTTTGGAATTTCTAAGAGTTTCCAGGTGATTCTTTTTTTTTTTTTTTTTTTTTTTTTTTTGAAGATGGAGTCTTGGCTGTTGTCTCGGAGACTGGAGTGCAGTGGAGCAATCTCAGCTCACTGCAACCTCGGCCTCCCAGGTTCAAGCTATTCTCCTGTCTTAGCATCCTCAGTAGCTAGGATTACAGGCACCCACCACCACTCTCAGCTAATTTTTGTACTTTTAGTGGAGACTGGGTTTTGCCATGTTGGCCAGGCTGGTCTCAAACTCCTGACTTCAGGTGGTCTGCCTGCCTCAGCCACCCAAAGTGCTGGGATTACAGGAATGAGCCACAGTGCCCAGCTGAGTCTCCAGGTGATTCTAATGTACAGGCCAGTCTTGAAATCACTGGGCTAGGATGAGAATATTTTACTTGTGCTGAGACAAATGAAAACAATGCTAGTTCAGGAATGTGAACTATGACTGATTTAAACAAATAGTTCATTTCTTCTTTTTTAATGCTGTTATTCAATTGGAATATAGTATAAAAGGAAAGTACTATAAATTCTGAAAAGTTGGATTACAAATATTTTTATAAATCCAGTCATCCAAGTTGTAATTACAAGGGGTAACTGGTCATATTGCCTTTTGTGAAACCTCAGCCAGGCTGTTCCTCTTCATATAATCTCAGTATCCTTGAAAAATTAACAGATTGTCAATTTATCAGTTCCAGTAGATAGTATATATATCTCCACGTGTGCACAGCCCTTATCAAGCTGCTGCAGCTACTGAGTCTAGCTTTGACCTCTTTCCATAGATCTTAAATTTAGCTTCTTAAACAAAAAGCACACAGTATATTCTAACTGTAGTATTTTTATATGCATATCTGTCACTGCATTGTGTTTTTTTCAAGGGCAAGAGCTGTGTCTTTTGGGAAATTTTTTTAAAAGGCCCAAAGCATAATGATACAACTTGATGAATTTTCACAAACCAAACATGCCTAAATAACCAGCACCTGATCAAGAAACAAGCTATACCAGCATTTCAGAGGCCCTCCTCATGCCTCTCTCAATCACTGCCCTTCCCCGTGTTGCCTTTTACTTTCTTACTATAATTTACATAAAGCAATTGAGTACACTATTATGAAGTTTATAGCTTAGTGAACTGTGTGTGTGTATGTGTGTATGTGTGTGTGTATCTGTGTATCTGCAGTCCCGTAATCAGCATCGGGATAGAGACAATTGCCAACATTCCATGTTTGTTCATGCCTTTTCCCAGGTCCCCCCACCCTCACCATTCTCATGTCCATTATTAGTGGTCACTTTGGTCAAGCTGTGTTTCAGGCTTTGTTTTCCTAGCCCAACAAGTGCTTTTAAAACAGCAAATATAGAAGTGTGTTGTGTTTATTGTTTTGTAGTCTGCTCTCCTGTTGTAATTTCTGTCATGACGACTTTTCCATGTTACACATTTAAATACTTGTTAGTATTTTTAGTGGCTGTGTAATAGCTATGTGTATTTATAGGTGATACAGTCTTTAAAATAATGCTGTCTTCTTAGACATTTACTTTGTTTTCAGTTTTTCCATCATGTAAATGATTGTGAACATATTTATCAATCAAACTTTGGTCATATTTCTTTGATTTCCCTAGTGCACATGCTTGTGGAATTACGGGATTGAAGGGTATGATCATTGTAAAGGCTGTGGATTTGTATTTCCAAACTATTTACTAGAAAGGCAGTACCAATTTATACCTCTCTACAGTGTCCGAGAATGCTGTTTGTGTTGCATCTTTAACAAAGCTTTTTTTCTTTAGATTAACAACTTTATTTTTCAGAGTAGTTTTAAGTTGATGGAAAAAATGACTTGCAAATTTGAGCGAAAAAGTTCGACAAATATATAAGGACTCTATCAACTATTACAGTATCATACAGATTAGTTTCACTGCCCTAAACATCTCCTGTCTTCTACCTGTTCATCCCTCCCTTCCTTTCCCAAGCCCCTGGTAACCACTGATCTTTCTACTGATTTCATAATTTTGCCCTTTTCAGAATATCATACAGTTGAAATCAGAGTATATAGCCTTTTCAGACTTTCTTCTTTTGCTTAGTAGTATGTATGCATTTAAGTTTCTTCCCGTTTTTTTTTGTGGCGTAGTGGCTCATTTCTTTTTTTCATGGCTGAATAATATTTTATGTGGTTTTACTGAAATTGGTTTGTCTTCCAAGCATTGAAGAACACCTTGGTTACTTCCACATTTTGGCAGTTATGAATAAACCTATCATAAAATTCATGTGCAAAGTGGCTTTACCATTTTATGATCCTACCAGCAGTGAATGAGAGCTAAGCCTTTTAAAACTTTTTCTTATAACAATACCTTTTAGAAGAGGCTGAAACAAAAGGTGATATGCTATTTGTAAACTGAGACATGACTACCCATGTTACTGTTCTCATTGTATTCCACATTTGTTTCAGGTTTAATGCATTCAAAAGGATTAATATCATACAGCGCCATTTGGTAAGTTTTAACTTTGTTTTGCTGGCATTATTTGTATGTGTAACTTAAAATGTAATTGTTAGAGAAGTAGAGAAATACTGGTACGGCAGATTTCCTTGACCTTGGTACATCATGGTTCTCAACTGGAGTGTCAAGACATGACACACATACCTTGTAGAAGGTGGCATAAGATTATGGTTAAAAGCATAGTTCTTGCAAGTCAGGATGCCTGAGTTTAAGTAATGGGTTCACTACTTAATCTTGGGTGGATTCCTTGGTCTCTTACAGCTTCCCTTTTGATATATATAAAGTGAGGATGATAATGATAGTATCTACCTTAGAGTGCTTATAAATGATAAATAAGATAATTGTATTAATCAGGGTTCTCTAGAGGGACAGAACTAATAGGGCATATGTATATATGAAAGGGAGTTTATTAAGGAGAACTGACTCACATGATCACAAGGTAATCCCACGATAGGCCATCTACAAATTGAGGAGCAAGGAAGCCAGTTCAAGTCCCAAAACCTGAAAAGTAGAGAAGCAACAATGCAGCCTTCAGTCTGTGGCTAAAGGCCCAAGAGCCTCTGGCAAACCACTGGTATAAAAACAAGAGTCCAAAAGCTGAAGAACTTGGAGGCTGATGTTTGAGGGCAGGAAACATCCAGGACTGGAGAAAGATGAAGGCCAGAAGACTCAGCAAGTCAAGTCCTTCCAACTTCTGTCTGCTTTTATCCTAGCCTTGCTGGCAGCTGATCAGATGGTGCCCACCCAGACTGATGATGGGTCTGCCTCTCCCAGTCCACTGACTCAAATGTTAATCTCCTTTGGCAATACCTGCAGACACACCCAGGAAAAATACTTTGCAACCTTCAATCTAATTGAGTTGACACTCAGTATTAACCATCACATTAATGCATTAAAAAATTTAACATAGTGCATAGCATATAACAGTCATTTTATACATGTTAGCTGTTATTGTAATGGTATACTGGGAAAGTTAAATATACATAGTTTATCAGATTATATGGAAGAAATAAATTTTAATCACTTTTGTATCTCTTACAGAGGCTCAAAGTAAATTGCACATAAAAATAATAAGTCATCTGATATCACTTACTGTATTCTAGGTGGTATTCTAAGTACTTGTCATGTATTAGCTCAGTTAATTCTCATAGTCCTATGGGGTACATACTACAGATCGCATATGTTCAATTCTAACACCCCAAAACCAAAAGTTTTTTGTTAGTTTGTGGTAAATACATTGGCAAAATCTGACCTGGATGTACTTGAAGCTCTTTTAGTGTTTATCCTTACTAGCATGAACACTTATGGTTTGGTGCATAACTATAAAAACACTTTATTACTTTTATTAAGCCTAAGTGGATATGGGGATATGAAGCCTGCCATATTCCTTCCTACCTGTGATAGTACATTTTCTGTTGCTTAAAATAGAATACCTAAAACCGAGGAATTTGTAAACAAAAGGAATTCATTTCTTATAGTTAACGGAGGTTGAGAAGTCCAAGGCCAAGTTGCTGCATCTGGTGTGGGCCATTTTGCGGGTGGGAGCTCTCTGTAGAATCCCAAGGCGGTATAGGACATCATATGGCAAGGGGCTAAGCATGCTAGCTCAGGTTTCTCTCTCTCTCTTGTAAACCCACATTCTTATCCCATAACAACTCGTTGATTCATTAACTCATTAACCTATTAACCCATTAATTTAGGAATGGGTCAGTTCTTTCATGTGAGCAGAACTGTCATGCGCAATCACCTCTTAAAGGACTCACCTCTAAGGCCTTTTGACCTTGGACATCAGCCTCCATAACTACAAGGAAAGGAGTAAATTCCTTTTCTTTATAAATTACACAGTTTCAGGTAGTCTGTTGTGAGCAACAGAAAATAAACTAAGACAATTTGTATATTACTGTTAACTCTAGACTTTATTTGGATTTCACCAGTTTTTTTTCATTAATATTCTATTCCAGGAATCAAGGACACTGCATTTACTTGCCACGCTTTTTAGTCTCCTCTTGTCTGTGATAGTTTCTCAACTTATCTTTCATATTTTTCATGACCTTGACAGTTTTAAGGAGTACTGGTCAGGTAGCCTGTAGAATACCATCTCATCTGGGCTTATCTGTTGTTTTTTAGATCATTAGACTGGAGTTAAGGTTTTTGGCAAGAATATTGTAACTGGGTTTTTTTTTTGGATGTTGTGGGTTTTTGGCCTCCAACTTCTTAAAGAATGAGTGGTGGGGCTGCTTCAGCTGCACTGTATGCTCACAGGGTAAAACTTTGGACCCAAAACAGTGTTGCAGAAAGGTGATTTTATTTAGGTAGAGAAAAGAGAAGGAAAGGAGAAGAGAAAGGCTTCCAGGAAGAGTGTGGAAGGGGATTCCAGAGGGAAAATCCCAGAGGGAGCTCCCACCATGTGGGAAGGGGTTCCAGAAAGTTGGAAATCTGGCACAGGTGAGGGAGCATGGACTTTTATCCTGGGAGAAACCTCCACCTTCTCCAAGACCGTGGGCCAGCGAAAGGAGTTCCTTAGAACTTCTGCTGGAGTGATTGACTTTTAGTTTCTTCCCACGCCCACGAAATTCAAACATAAACCGTTGAATCTCCTGGATGGAGAGAGATGGGAGGGGGACATAGTGCTGGGAAATTCTTGCCCTTAAAGCTACACCCACTCATGGACCTGGAAAGAGAACGCATTCCCTTTTTCCCCCTTCTGAACAGGAAAATTTAACTTCTGTTGGAATAGGGGTGTCGATCTTTTTTAACTACTTCCTGCTGAAGTGGGGCATAGAAGGGGCCCTGCAATTGAGGTTTCTTCCAGAGAGGAGCCTTTTAGGGGTACAGGTTGATTTACAGGTTCATGATACAGCTTACAAGCCAAGGACATCCGGGGTTCCAGCAGCAGGATTAACTGTGACCTTATGGTTCTATAAGAAATAAATATGACCAGGTGGTTAAAGATGAGAGGCCCAGAGTTACAAACAAGCCTAGGAGAGAACAGAGCCAGGTTCTTGAAGGTCTCTAGCCCCGTTTTTGATTGATTCCTGAGTTCTATATTTAAAGTAACACTTAACTGGTTTACAAAATAGCATTTTTCCTAGAAACAGGTTTCCCTCCTCTCTGTTGTTAGCAGATTTAGGACTCTTTTATTTTTAAAGCTATGGCAGCTAAAGAATTAAGTTGGCTTGCAGAGACAGCTGCCCTTTGCAGAGAGAATTAGCCAGAGAATTTGTTATTAATTAACTTTTGAGATAGCTTATAGTAACTGAATAGAGGTAATAACTTTCCTAATACCAGCACCAAGTTTTCAGGGCAGGAGGGAAATACTGAGAAGGCTGTGCCAGTGCCCAGGAGAAGATTGGCTTCCTGGACCTTTATGGCTGGCTTTACCTGGGGCTTTGTGAGGGTGCTGGCTTATGCTGGCACTTGTGTCAGGCATTCTCAGTCCTGCCATTGGGTCATCTGGTCAGACACCTGAGGCCCAGGGGACCTTGGTTCCCAGGGAGAGTGTGCTCTCCAGTGATTCCCTTGGCACAGTGGGCATGGATGAGGTGGTGGTCCGTTCCTCTGGGGACAGTTTCTTACAACATGTCCCTTTAGACTGCACTGGTAACAAGTTCTGCCAGAGTGGCAGCTAACCCAAGCCTCTCCTTCATTTGAGCCCCTGGGGTCTGCTTGCCTGAAGGCCATAACTAAGACCACAGCCTTTCTTGGATCTTTCCTGTTCCTTTCAGCCTGTTCCTCTTGGTCTCTATTATAAAACACTGAGGTTGCCTGGTTTAGCAGTGATTTTAGACTCTGTTCTGGTCCCAAAGTCAGCTTCTGAAGCTTCCTTCTGATGTCTGCTGCTGACTAATAAACTTGTCCTTTAGTTTTAACTGACCTTCAATAGAGTTTGGTGACAGGGGAGTGTACTTTCTTAAAGCCTCTTGCAATTGCTTAAGGAAACCTGTTGGGTTTTCTTCCCTTCCTTGAGTTATGGTGGATAACGTTGCGTAGTTCATTAGCTTCTTTCTAGTTTACCTTAATCCCTCAAGCATACAGGTCAGGAAATGCTTATGGCTCTAGTCTGCCTGTTCTGAATCCGGATTCCAGTGAGGGTCTGTGGCAGGGACTGCCTGAGTACCTGTGGGATATCTGTCCTTATTCTCTGGCATTATCAGGTTATGTACCTAAGGTACCAAGTGTCTCCAAACTCTTGAGTTGTTGCTGGAGCAGCCTCCTTTTCATTGCTGGTTAGGGTTTGATTAAGCAAAAGCATGACATTCTTCCAGTCTAATTTGAAGGACTGACCCAGGCCCTGAAGAACATCTATATACTTGTTGGGGTCATTTGAAAACTTTCCTAAGTTCACCTTAAGTCAGAAAGTGAGAAGGGAGTGTGTACCTTTATTGGGCCAAATTCTCCTCCCACTGCCTGTAGGGGGCAGAGTTTGGGCATCTGGGTAGCCTGAGATGTCCTGGCTGTCTTGGCCCTCCCTGGCTCCTGTTGGGGTACAGCAGCTGAGGAGCCCTGGTTGGCATTGGTGGAGGTAGTTGCCACAGGGAGCCTCACAGGTGGAGGTAGTCCTGAAGAGGGCTGAATAGGGTAAGGGGCACAGGCCAGACAGAGCTGAGGAATATTCCTTAGGGAAAAGAATAGTTGCACATAGGGGACCTCAAAACATTTACTCTCACTTTTACAATGCAGGTCTAATTGTAGAATGATGTTATAATCTATACTTCTCTTTGGAGGCCAGGTTTTTCCACTTAGCAGGGGGTATTTCAGCCACTCTGTTCGGCAGAGAAAGATGAGCTGCTGCTGCTTCAAGAGTTGTGTGTCAAATTGGTCCCACTTTTCCAGTATACATTTTAATGGGGACTTGAGCTTAGGAATAGAAGCTCTCATTTGAAATTGAACACAAGGGATGCCCTCATCCCCAGTTAAAAAAATTACAGCTTCTTTGACCTGAGGCATCCCCCAGGTAAAATGGGTACTGAAATGAAACGGTTTTTCAGTCTGTA